TACCGTCCTGCCATCCGACCAAATGTCACTGTGATAAAAGTCTAGTTAGCTGTCTCCTAGTGACACTATTCTAGATACCCAGGGGGTGGGCAGGTGGGGTGCCTGGTCCGATCAGCTGAAAGGTCTTACGGGGAAGAACTGAGGTTTCACTGAGGAAGACAGTCCACCTGTGCTCGGAGTTCAGCTTAGCCAGTCCCCGCAGCTGGGCCAGCCAGTTCCCCGCCGGAAATCTCAATGCTGACTCTGTTTCTCTTGTTGAACCCTGACTGATACAGCAGAACAGGTAAGACAGTGCGCTCAGGTGAAGAGACTGGCCCAAGGTCACAGGACCAGCAAGCTGCAGGGCTGAGAGGAGAGCACCTGACTGGCGCTTCCCAGCCCCCACTCCCCAGCATCACAGCCCTGCCCCACGCCCCTCCGCAGTGGCTGGATCCTCATCATCTCTCCTGTCTCCGTTCACCAGCCAGAAAACCTTTCAGACCTAAGCCAGGCCATGTCCCCTCTTGTTAGACCCTGTAGTGGCGCTTTCAGAGTTAAAGTCAAAATCCCGCCAGTGGCCTACAAGGTCTGTGTTCCTCCATCCCCAGCCACATCGCTGCCCTTGCCTCCCTCCACTTCGTCCCCTCGTATTTCACACCCCAGCCACAAGCGATAGCACGCTGGCCAGCAGGCCCCCACCCCAGGACCTCTGCACTGCTGTACCCCTGTCTGGGACTGCTCTTCCTAAGTAACCTCGTCACGCTCTCACTTCTCTAACATATAGAGTCCCAGTCTCCACTCTCTGGTCCTGTGACCTTGGGCCAGTCTCTTCACCTGAGCTCACTGTCTTACCGGTTCTGCTGTATCAGTCAGGGTTCAACAAGAGAAACAGAGACAGCATTGAGATTTCCCGCAGGGAACTGGCTTGCCCAGCTGCGGGGGCTGGCTAAGCTGAGCACAGGCGAGCTGTCTTCCTCAGTGAAACCTCAGTTCTTCCCCGTAAGACCTTTCAGCTGATCGGACCAGGCACCCCACCTGCCCACCCCCTGGGTATCTAGAATAGTGTCACTAGGAGACAGCTAACTGGACTTTTATCACAGTGAGGTTTGGTTGGATGGCAGGATGGTAGTATGTATAGTCGGGTGGACACACTGGTAACATACAGTCTCTAACATATAGAGTCTGGGTGATGTGCCTCGTCACCCAGAGCAGACAGCCATTCCTGGAGGGCGGGGGCAGCCCTTACCCCTGCTGGGACACAGGTGATAAACAAGAAAACCCACAAGATAATTTGAGGGTGGTCAGTGAAGTGCAGGGAAGAAGAGGGGTCACTGAAGGGGGGTAGTTTCTCTGAGGTGAGACTGAAGCAGACATCTTGAGAAACTCAGGTGCAATGAGCAGGGGGGAGCATTTTAGGTAGAGGGAACATCAAGGGCAAAGGCTGTGTGGTGAGAATGAACTTGACCTATGTAAGGAACAGAAGGTTGTTGGGGCTGAGCACAAAATGCTGGGATTGGGAGGCTGAGAGAGGGCGCAAGCCTGGGGCAGGTGGCAGGCAACAGCCAGAGCACACAGGCTCTGTAAGCTGGTTTGTTCTGAGTGGGGATTTATGCAAACAATACATTATTGATACAGATTTTGAAGAGTTCATTCTAGTGATGGGATGGAGACAGGCTGGAAAAGCAGAGAGGCCAGGGGGAAGCTGCGGCCTCTCTGCAGAGACAAAGGAGGCTTCCAACATGGTGCCATGGTGGGGGCTTAGAGAACTGGACAGATCCACAGGTCAGCTCGGCAGGTGAGGGGAGGGAGGCATTAAGGGTGTCGGGCTTGAGCAACAGAGTGGATGATGACAGTGGGGTGGAAATGGGGTGGAAATGATGCCTGCAGGAAAGAGCAGGAAGAAGCAGGCTCCCTGCAGGGAAGGAGCAGAGATAAACCTGAGGCGACACTATCTCCCAGTCTTCCAGGTCACCAGTCCTGCCTCCTCCTCCTTCCAGGTCACCAGCCCTGCTGTAAGCTGCCTGAGCACATTCTCCCTGTCGACTCCACTCTCCCAGGCCCACCTTGGCTCTGTGCTTGGAAGACACCCCCCCAAGGGCTCCCTAAGGGCACTTGGGATTAACATGTGAAAAGTAAGAAACATGCAGAAGGCCCTGGCTGGGGCATCTGGGAAGCGGTGCCAGTTCTGTCGCAGCTGGGCGCCCCCACGGCTCAGACCTGCACTTGGTGACAGCGTGCAGGCAACTGCCCTCCTGCAGCTTGGTTTCTCATTGTCAGTCGGGAGCCCTATGACCAACTGCTGGCTCTGCGCAGCAAACAAGGAAACGTGCAAAGTGGCTACTAGCACAAAGTAGATGCTCATGAAATCATCCAGCCAGCATCACTTTCCCAAGGTTTTCTAGGTTGCAGGCAGTATCCTGAGCATGAGAACATACTACTTTACTGAATCTTTATTTTTAACCATATGAGCTGTATATTAGCCAGAGTTCTCCAGAGAAAGAGAACAGGGTGTATCAAGAGAGAAAGAGAGAAAAAGAGGTTCATTTTAAGGAATTAGCTCACATGTTAGTGCGGGTGTGGTCAGCCCAAGACCTGATGGAAGGCTGGGCAGACCGGGATGGCTGTGGTTCTAATCCAAAGGCGGCGTGCTGACCCGACTCCTTCTGGCACGGGGAAGGTCAGTCTTTGTGCTACTAAGACCTTGGATGAGGCTCTAGCCCACATTATGGAGGGTAATCTGCTCTCCTCAGAGTCCAGCAATTCCAAAGTTGATCTCATCCTCAAAACACCTTCACGGAAACATCCAGAGTAATGCTTGAATAAACATCTAGGTGCCACAATCCAGTCAAATTGGTTAAAATTAGCCATTACAAGGTGGGCATGAATATTATCCCCAATTTACAGAGGAGAGAACATGCACAGAGAGGGGAAGGGGAAGAGGCAGACTCAGCACCTGCCTCTGGCTCCCGAGCCGGCCCTTTCAGCCTGGCACCAAGTGGCCTTTATCATAACTAAATTTCTCCATCCATTCACTTCCTGTCCTCAGAGCAGAAGGCAGAGAAATGGAGCGAGGTTTTCCCTGGCTGGGGTGGCCTGGCTAGGGCCCGACCTTGTGCAGGAAGCAGCACAGAACCAGGGTCTCAGAAGTCCAGGTCAGGGGGAGACTTAAGAGCTTGTCTGGTCCGGTCCTTGCTACTTCAGGGGGACACTGAGGCCCAGAGTAGAGGAGAGCCTCACCCAAGGATGCAGCATTCAGAAGGTAATGCCATAGACCCTGCTTCTATAGCACCATCTTGAGACTGTCCCCGCCTGAACTGATTTACTCTCCTACAGGTCAGGTGGCTGCCACTGTCATCTGTGTTTAAAGAAATGGGGAAACTGAGGCACAGAGGTCATGAAACTTGCCAAAAGTCACACAGATTATGTGTGAGCCCAGGCCCAACCAGTATACTATAAACTTACCCAAGGCCCAGGGTAAGTTTCCTGGGGGATGGGATTGAGCCAGAACCCCACCCTAGGTTAAATGCCCCCCCCAACCCCCCCCCTGGAGGAGGCAGGTTCACGGGCCGCACAGCTTCCTGGCTGTGCACACCTGAGACCTGCCAGGGCCAGCTGAGCAGCACTCGTGCACACATGTCTTGCCTCCCAGTAGTCATGCCTCAAACAGGTGTGCAAACACCAGGAACAGAACGCAAGGCACAACATCACAGAAATACTCCAACCCCGGCACACGACCCACTGCCTGCGCGCCCAAACAGGTAAACACGCTTTCTTTCACAGCACATACTTATGAAGAACTGTACGTGTACACACACACACCCCACCTGCTCCCATGCACACCCCACATGCTCCCATACACAAACCAAACCAGGACTCAACCTCCCCCTCCCAAGAAAGGTGGAAAATAGCACTTTGACACACAAAACATACAGACGCATCCCCAGAAACAGACATGCCATGGAACTTCTCCTGCCCCGACTCTCATGGCACCCAGCACACCGGGCACTCACCGCTGAAGAGCCACAGGTCAAGGCACCAGGACTCAGATCTCTCCCCACACCAGAGACTACCACAAACCCGTGCTTATTTATACACTTCCCACGGCTCCACGGGCCAGACCCCCAGACGGCCTACCACCCACACCCATAATTCACCATCCCCATAAATGCAACACACAGGACACAGAGCTCCAGGAGCTCCAGCAGCCCTGAGCTCAGCACAGCCCTGACCCCCGTGGACCCCCACACCCAGGCATGTGCTGAGCGCATCCTCCCCACCGGGGAATGCTCTGAGGCGTCCAGCACACAGTGTCCCCTGAAGACTCGTCCTGCCTCTCTCCGTCTCCACCCCTCCAAAATTTCTGGGAGGGCGGGGTACCTGGCACCTGTTAGCCCAGTGCTGGGTGGCTGGTGCCCCCATGCCATCTTTGCCAACCAGGCTACCATGCACAGCCCCCACTCTGGCAGCAGGGAGAAGGCGCTCAGAGTTGGGGGTGGTGGAGAAAGTCTGCTGCAGGCATGAAAAACTCACAGTCACGCAAGTGCCACCCCCACCCCCCCACCCCCGTTTCGGTTTTGGATCTCACCTCCCAGGAGAGAGAACTCTGAGTCCACATTAACCCTTTGTCGCTACCTGGGGGGGTGGGGGAGGCCCCTCGCTGGGGTAAGTCACGGCAGTGCCCACCAGTGGTCAGCGCAGCTGGGGGGGCGGGGGGAGGGGGATTGGGCCGCTAACGTTGCTGAGCTTAGGCCCTCTGCAGACGCCTCCACAAACATCCTCCATGCACCAGCCTTCATCCCCACCGGACTCGGTAGGAGAAGGTTCCGTACACAGGCTGGGATCCAGGCGACTGAAAGGAGTAGCTATCCCCGCTGCCACAGGGCGGCGGGCAAGGTCAAGCAGCCCCCCTCCAGCACCCCCCCCCCACACACACCCCGAAAGTCCTCCGCAGGATCCCGAGAGAGGCGCAGGCACGAAGCAGGAGGGGAGGTTGGAGGGAAAACGCCTGGAGGCTCTCTTACCTGATTTCCTCTTGGAACTGCCATAGTCTCTGAAAAAGAAGCAACAACAGATAGACATGGTTAGGGCCGCGGTCGCGCGGGACTCGGCGGCTGCGGGCTGCAGGTTGCGGCTGCAGGGCGCCCACGGGCCGGCTGCGGTGGGTTCCCTGCGCTGGCGC